GTTCGAATAAGGAACTCTCGTTTGCCCGTTACCAGGCAACGGGCTGAAAGGTATAAAAGCTATCCCCCATCGCTGTTTAGGCCTGCGACCACACTGTTTTGGAGAGCATCATCCTTTCTCCTACATCTAAATTTTTAATCGCATCTTTAACCATAGTGCTTTATCAAACGCATTTTCAAAATGGCCGATGCACAGAAGCTGTACGATCTGTTGAAAGCAGACGCCAACTGCAAATCCCTTCTTAAAAAACACCTGACCCAAGAAGTCTTCGATGCTCTCAAAGATAAGACCACCAAATTTGGCGGCACCCTCGCTGACAGCATTCGCTCAGGTAAGACTTTTCCCCTTCTTGTAGTGCCTCCCCTCCCCTGCCCTCCCCTCTCAGCGGGATGGCCCGACACTCACATACGCTCTACCATATTTAGTTAGACCTGAATGTTTTGAGGACTATCTCTTTTTTTTTTTGGAGCATCTCTAAGGAATTATAGATAAATACTAGATCTAGATTTAGATAAACGATAATAAATTGTCATAGATATAAGTGGTCAGATTCTTAACATCTGAGAGAGTTTCTTTTCGAACATGTTTTTTAAATTGATTATTAGTATAAGAATATTTTATTTGAAAGCGAATTGTCCTCAACATTTTCTTCCCTATTTCTCTCTTTATCTTAACAAAGTAAAAACCTTCAAAAAGTTCGGTGCGAAAAAAAAATTGAATTGTTTAAGTTAGTAGCATCGAATTATGCTTTGGATAGACTTGTCTCCCCTAACATGTTCCACTGTCTGATAATTCCTTAGTGTTGTAGTTACCTCCTCTTGTGACATCTTTGAACTTAGCGTGCATGTCCAATTTTAGACATCCCCTATTTCTTTAAACTACCGAAGCTAATCAACCATAATTAATGAGGCGTTGAAAAATCTTTGCCAATTAGTCAAATCAGTTTTTATTCATGCAAGGAAAAATGGCCCTATTTCAAGCCTGTTTGTAGACAAGTGAACGTGTAGCTTTGGATTATTCTCTCAAGTAGCCCCATATTTTATTTAGTGCTATAAATTGAATACAAACAAAAAATAGCATATATATATATATATATATATATATATATATATATGTATATATATATATATATATATATATATATATATATATATATATATATATATATATATATATATATATATATATATATATATATATATATATATATATATATATATATATATACATATATATATATATATATATATACATATATATAAACATACACACACACACACATATATATATATATATATATATATATATATATATATATATATATATATATATATATATATATATATATATGTATATATATATATATATATATGTATATATATATGTGTGTGTGTGTGTACAATACCAAGTGTCAGATAAGACAACATTTGAAGTTCGTAATAGCAAATAATTTCCTCATTGAGATGAAATGCTCGGACATCAGCATACAAATCCAATTAATTAATTATCAACAACACGTTAAAATATTTTGAATATACATAGACTGCTACTTTATTTTTATCCATTGAAAAAATGTATTCCGACAAAATGCAAGGTTAGAATTGTTGATTACTTCTTGCTGTTAATTTAAAAAAAAAAACATTTCTGTTCTTTAAACATATTTCACAAAATGTTTAAAAAACTTGATTATTCCGCTAACATTTTTAAAAAAGAATTTTATAATTAAAAAAAAAAAAAAAGCTAAAACACAACGGGTCGATACAGCAACAGCGCGTTGATAGTGGGTGTGTAGATAAGGAGCAAATGTTGGTCAGACGACAGCATACCAGGTCACTCATTCCAATTTAGGTCAAATCAAACCGGGTCAAAGAAAACTTTATTCTTTATTTTTTTAATTCTTGGATATTTCTCTACAGTTATAAAACTAATTGTTTTTACGGTTAGGTATCTTACGGGGGAAAAAATAATTACTTAAACGGAATTTTAAAAATTCGGTCTTTGAATAATTCGTTGCTTTTGGATGTGCATTTGAGGTATTGAATCCTCTTGCTTAGTATTTTAAAACAAATTCGAACACGCATGTGTTTCAAACACTAACATTCCTTCAACAAACCTCTTAAAGAACAAAGCATTGATCTAAGCACGTATTGAACACAAGGTCTGTGTACACATAAATTGTGTGCTTAGGCAGACATTCGCCATAACACACACTGTCACAACTTGTGTGTGCATAGGCCGGTTGCATGCCAGTTGAGCAATGATTAACCTTCAAGTATTCTTCTAGCTATCTGTGGCTTGCGTTGATTGTAAAAACAGACATAGCATTGACTTGAAATATGGGAGATCACACGGCAATAAATGTTTATTGACGTGCCAGAAATAAATGTTTATTTATAGTGACAATCGTTTTACAAGGTTTAAAGTTGGGCGATGCAATGATTCTTTATTTGTGAATTTAAAAAAAAAATATTTTTGAAATATTGTGTTTGACAACATCATCCGATAAAATACCATCATTCAGAGGATGATCCTCTACAACAATATCTTAAATTAGCCACAATCCCATCTACTACTACCCCCTCCTCCCCTCCCGCCCTCATTACAATGACAGTTATCCGCTTTTCTTCGGTAGCCTGTTCTCTGGACAAGCAATTCTGGTTAATTAGCTTCCATTACGTCATGATTAATGATCTGACTTTTGCGCCAGCATGCCCAGGTTTCCAGCTCATTGTGTTGATTATTCTAATGGCGATCGTGTGGTCACATGTAATCATTCGATAAGTCTCGGGACAGGGGGGGGGGGGGACGACGACAGGGGGGGGGGGGGGGGACTATAGCGAGCACTACAAGGTGTATGGTGACGATGTAGTCAACGTATGACGACATTCTTACACACGTACACACACTCATGTACACACATATTTTTACACACTATTACACGTACACAAAAACAATATGGCGATAATGTGATTTAACTTTAGGAAGATTTTTCGAAAATGTCTGTTTTAACTTTTATATGATAGCGTGTGTAAATATCATAACAGTGAACTACAATAATACAAGGCGAATAATGCGTCAACTAATTAGATAAAGTACACGTGACTGTTTAAGTGGGTGTTGTTGGCTAATCTCAACACATTTGATGATAAGAAATATATCTTGGGATGACTCAAGCAAGGAAAAAAAAATATCCACGTGTTTCTTCACGTTGCTCACCTGTCTATCACCGTGAGAGATGATTGTGACAAACGTGGATGGGAAATACTGTAGAATATGGTGTGAGGTGTTTTTTGTCCACATAGAGTTGTACACTGTACACGTACACATTCTGTCACATAAAGATGTACACGTACACATTTTGTTTTTATAATGATGTACACTTCACATTTCGTCAACTTAAAGATGCATACTACACATTTCGTCATCATAAAGATGTACACTACACATTTCATCATCATAAAGATGTACACTACACATTTCGTCATCATAAAGATGCACACTACACATTTCGTCATCATAAAGATGTACACTACACATTTCGTCATCATAAAGATGTACACTACACATTTCGTCATCATAAAGATGTACACTACACATTTCGTCATCATAAAGATGTACACATGTACACTACACATTTCGTCCACCCTACTGACTAGACATGTACACATGCTCGTGTAATGTATTTTACAAAAGATGTACATATACACAAAATGTCAATGTTGATGGCTCAGTGATACCAAAAAAAGGTTTTTTAAATATATTTTTTTAAAAAATAAACAACACAGTGCTCCGTGTGAGATTGTATTGTATTATATTTTTTTTCTCAAACACACACAATCAGTAGCAACACATACAAAACTACAAGCATTCCTTCATTAAGTCACACACACAATCAGTAGCAACACATACAAAGCTACATGCATTCCTTCATTAAGTCACACACACAATCAGTAGCAACAAATACAAAGCTACCTGCATTCCTTCCATAAGTCACACACACAATCAGTAGCAACAAATACAAAGCTACCTGCATTCCTTCATTAAGTCACACACACAATCAGTAGCAACAAATACAAAGCTACATGCATTCCTTCATTAAGTCACACAACAGCTCGATCTTCCGATTGCTTTCGTGTTAGCGACACATTATAATTGTGGGATTATAATGAATTAGGATGACAAACTCAGACCACCGCTAAAAGCTGGGTAATGAAGCACACGATGCCAAACGCTAGACTTCTCTCATACGTTATAGAATCATTGCAGGTTCTAACACTTGCTTTTTACAACAATTTACCAAAAACATTGATTACTGATAGGTCTATATCAAATTATTTGCAACACGTTTATGATTCATAAGTAATATGACGCAACAATCGATTCCACCAACACACCAACGTATAGTTTAATCTAATCTTTAAAAAATGTTTATTCTAAATTATTTTTTACACACAAACTGATAAAGAAAAGTACACGGCTTGCAGAGTGGGGCGTGCTTTAAAAAGGGTTAAAGGTCATTGATTTCAATGTTATCTTAAATTAAATTCAGTTCGCATTTTTAAAAGTCTGTGCGCGACTCGTGAATGGTTCGGGCTGTTGTTTGGAGGTGTGTGAGGTTATCTCAGCGTACAAGACCTACCTCACGTACACAGTTATCTCACCTATGTGAGACGTCCACTCCACACCCCATGTCTAGGCTTTAATCCCATAAACCTCCCTTAAACCTCCCATAAACCTCAAACCTTGGGGGGTTCAAATTTAAGACAGGGGAGGTAAATCAATTGTCAATGACTCAAGGGAGATTATTAGGTTATGTCATTCTCCACCGTTCTTTGTTATAACTTGTCGTGTGTAGCTACGTGCACAGTATTGACAAGGGCTGAGCAAAGCAGGTTGGGGTGGGGTGGAGGTGGGGAGTGGGTGGGAGGGGGTGGTAGTCAGGGGCTAGAATAGGAATGAAAGAAAGGTAAGGGGAGAGAATATATGTGATAACTGTCAAATTTTCTGTATCGAGGGCCAACCGCTCTACTGTTGATTTTTTTTTAAAATTACTCGTCTACAAATAATTGGTCTAAGCTGAAATGACGAAGACGTTTAAAGAATGGATATTAAGGCTATCTAGTTAACCACACAATGTTGTATCCATCTATGTGCGCCTGATAGTTAAACTTAGATTATTTGTTAAAAAAATAATTTAAGTAGTTGCCATTGTAGAATGGTCAAAGAATGTATGAAATCTACATCCTGATTTCCTCGTCCGGCGATCGAGCTAGCTAAAAGAAAATTCGCGAATCGTTCGTATAATGTCAAGCCTAAACGTTGCTGTGCTAC